CCCCCCCCCCCCGCCTCCCCCTTCCACCCCCTTTTTTTTGTTCGCCCTCACAATAACGATGAAACCGAACTCGTTTTAAATTCAGAATACGTCAACGGTTATGGGTAACCTGTTTCCTCTGGGTTTTTTTAACTCATTTTTTTCGACTTTATCATTGTAAAGTTATTCAGTCTCGGTGAGTGTTTAATTTTCGAGTGGTGCCTCGTAACGATGGGGTGTTATTTTTGAAGAGAAATAAATTGCATCTGTAATCGCTCTCTTTCGAGAGTTTTGAGTTGAGTAAAATATTTGGTGCGCGGAAAAACATAGACCACACATCCAAAACGTGCAAAAACCCCTTGGCCTATTTTTCCCGGGATTCGAAATGTTTCAAGTGCCCAATTATCGAGGAAGTTGTGTAAATTACCTCGAATTGACATTTAGGAAAAACCGTGTCAAATTCATCAAACATTCACAGCGTTTTCCATTTTTCTTTACCGATATCAGTGGCACTTGGTATCATCTCGAATACGAATGCAATTACCTCTTCAAGTGCTCTCCCATCCAAGAATGTTGATCGTTTACCATTCAACGAAGCGTCGAAGTAGCGCGATAGTACATGCTCTCGAGTTACCCCTCCTTCACCGCCCACCGAGTCACATCAGGAGAATAGTCGCTACAACGACATGCGCAGGAATCGATGGTAAACATTTGAAAAAGGCCAGGTTTCACAGAAATATTCGTTTTCCTTCTCATCCCGGCTCTGGACCATCTGCCCTGATATGGCTATTACCTTCCTACCTCCCCACTCCATGTGTTTGTGCGCGTTTACGTTGTCAAGGGACGTGTACTTTATATTTTCTCGTTGCAAGTTCGATTGTCCGTTGGATTGTAAATGTTTTTCGTCGGGGGAATAGTGCCCACTTGTGGGAATTCATCGTTTATTGCTTGTTTGAGGAGATTGAGGGGATTAATTGAGGGGAGATAATGAATGAATATGTTGATGGTTTGTGTTGGTGAAGTGACATTCATGAATTTTTTTTTAAATTAATTTTACGGGATTTTTTTTGTTAGTGGGGGTTTTGGTTGATTTAATTTGAAAACCTAGGGGCTGCACTGTTAAGAAAAAAATGAAATTTCGTGGACAGTTGACTGATAATTTTTGGGACAGTGACAGTGAATCCGATTTAGGGGAGAAAATCATGAAATTTCAGGCTTCATTGAAAATTCAGTAAAATTCCAGAATTTTAAGCAGTATAAAGACGAGGATTCTTTAATTTATTTGAATTGCCAAGTTAAATTGATTTTTGATTCTAATTCTAATATGAATTAAATTTTCACTGAAAATACATATGAATTAATATGAATTAAATTTTCACTGAAAATTCATATTAGAATTAGAATTAAAATTCAATTTAACATTGAATTTACAGTGCAATCTGAAATTTCATTATTTTTTTTTTCACCCCAAATCGCATTCAGTGTCACTGTCCTGAAAATTCAAGAATATATTTACCGGAATTTTCTGGTTTTCTAATCATTTTCCGGAAAAAATGGAAATAAAATTAACAGTTCTCTTTGATTTTTCCACGAAATTCTGAATTTTCAATGACGAAATTCCTTGAAATATCAGTGGTAATTAAATTCAATAAAAAATTCCAAAAAGTGTACCGCAAATTTCAGATAAAATTTTTTAACAGCGTAGGCATGTTTGCGAGGGTGACACTGAATAAGTTTTAGGGGGAAAAATATCATAAAATTGTAGATTTCACTGAAAATCTGCTGAAATTCTAAATATATTAACAGGATTCAGATGAAAATTCCCCAACCTATTTGAATTTTCAATGAAACCACGAATATTCCTACCTGAATTACGATAAATTCTCAATCAACTTAAAATTCAAGAATCCGTTCACCAGAATTTTCCTGATTTCCACTAATTTTCCGAGAATAATTGAACTGAAAACTGCACTTCTCATCGATTTCTCCCCGAAATTTTCAATTTCCACTGAAGAAATTCCTTGAAATTTCATTGATAACTAAATTCGATAAAAATTTCCAAAAAAGTGTACCATAAATATCAGCCAAAAACTGTTAACATTGTGATTAAACAACATTCATCACGTGTACGGTTTACCAAAGCGCAGTTCCCCCTGTCCAACGCCAACGAGTCCTTGAGTTTGGGAATTCAATCAAGCTCCGCTTACAGCTCGCTACCCTCAATCGGGTTTATTAGATCTCATCTCCCCGAGACCCAAACAGAGAAAAAATACAATAAAAATCTCAGTTGGCAACGGGGAGATCCCATCACCACCGGCGTGTCATATGCGCAGTTTACGCTTACTACCGCTGTTTACAGACACTAATTCAAATAAACTATTTTTCAAGTTGTTTTATTGGAAAACACAAAAATGCTAAATATGAATGATAAGATAATCCAGTGAATTATGGCTCTTATCACTTTGCGAATCGGCATTCTGGATAATGCCACATCCCCTGGCGACGATAGATCATCTGACCAAAAAATCTGATCTGTTGGAGAGAATTTAGTGGTAACTATTATGGCTCTGCTTTCAGCAAGAAAAAATTGCCTCGGGATTCTCATCATTCGCGCGGAGACCGCGACATTTCAGAATGCACGGAGAATGTCTTTGACAATTCCCTTGTAGTTAAAATTACCGTTGAAATTTTTCTCAATGTGGGGCCAAAAATAATTCATAGAGTTGATACGATCGAAGTCCTCCATTCACCTACGAAAAATTCAATTACTAGTTTTAAACTATCACATGTTGAACCCTCGCCTCCTCCTCCCCTCCTCCACGGTTGACTGAACTTGTATAACAAATTATGCATCTTGTTTACAAGATATAACCCTCGTCACATCCAAGTCCATAAGCAAACTTTCCTCGATGTCTTACACACACACATCAATGTTATAGACCCCTGTAATAAAACACGATTGCATGATGTCGAAAAACATTATGGCACATCCCACCGAGACCTTAGTTCCGAGAGGGGTGGGATAGAGTTACATTGGAAAGTGATATTCAGGTGGAGTTCTCGGGTAGAAAAATATATCTCAAAGTAAATTGGTGTAAACAACACTATCCCTCAACAATGTAACATTTTTCAAAAATAATTATTCAAAGTTGAATGAGAATTCACGAGGGGAAATTTCCGTTTTAATCCGTTGTAAATTGTTTTTAGTTCAATTTAACTTTTTAGCCCGAATTTTTAGTTTTTACGGAGTTGATTGGAGTTGCTGGGAGATGCAACTGTTCTGAGTGGCCCTCGGGGTGGCAAAAATGGAGAAAAGTCTATTAAACAACTGTCGGATCATGAAGGATATGAAAATGAACAAATCAAGAATTACGGAAAATGAAAAATTCGCTGAAAAAAATATTTTCAAGTTTTTTTGAAATCAGAACTAAAGTTGCAGAAATTATTTTGTTTATTGAATTTTAAATAGGTTTTTAAACAAAGTGGAGTGACTCATGAATTTTTTTGGATTTTTTAAGAATTAGTTTTGAGGGCTCGAGACGAAATTATGGTTTTTTGCAAGTGGAGTTTATTGTTCAATTTAATTAGAAAATCTAGTGTTAGGGAAAACTTGAAAAGTCAGTGAAATTTTAAATCTTTTAACAGCATTGAAATGAGAATTCTTCAACCTATTTATTCATTGTAAATTGTTTTTAGTTCAATTTAACTTTTAAACCAGAATTTTTAGTTTTTACGGAGTTGATTGAAGTTGCTGGGAGATGCAACTGCTCTGAGTGGCCCTCGAGATGAGAAAAATGGAGGAAAGTCTGTTAAACAACTGTCGGATGATGAGAGATACCAAAATAAATACGTCAACAATTTCAGAAAATCAGAAATTCGCAGAAAAATTTTTTTTTCAAGTTTTTGTAAAAACAAGGAAAATTATAGAAATCATTTTGATTATTGAATTTTGGTTCTCTATCCTTCTTTTTAAACAAAGTACTATTTTCAACTGAAAAATTTACAAAGTCTAAAAAAATATACAAAACGTTTTAATTGCGAATTGAATTTAAAAAATCCTCTATTTTCAATCGTAATTCGGTATTGATCCATCGTTCATTTTATTGCTTCGTTTCTCAATAAAAAAATTCAATCTCCAATAGTTTTCCAAAGTTCCCATATGAGTACCACTATAAAGTTGTTATGGAACTCATTTCCCGAAACAAAACTACCAGCAAATCGATGAAAAATTCAAGTTAAAATTAATCTATAAGTTTTGAAAGAGAATTTATCTGTCGTTGCATCTTGCTTGAGAAATTATCGTATCAGAGACACCGTACGATCCACTGATAAAGAGCCCTGTTTGAAATAATGAAGTTGCCGGAAGGTTTGCGAAAGTTTCTCCGACTCGCTGGAAAGTACTTGTCGATAACCAATTGGATTAAACAAACGGAGAGAGAATTAAATCTCATTATCAAATTCAGTAAGGAAAAAATGGATAAAAAAACCCAGAAAAAATTACCTTTGTCTTTAAACAATCCAATAACTCCCATTCTTCTTTTAGTAATAAACAAATTCATAGATTTTCCAATGAAATTAATTTGAAAATCCTCATTTAAAACCTCAGCAGCTCATTCCCCTGAAAACCCCAAATTTCGAAGAAAATTTATCAAGCCTAATTACCTCATTATCTCCTTAATGATTGACTTTATGATGAAATATCACATAACATTTCTTCCAGGAAATTTAATGACCTACAAATAAATTCTAGTGACATTTTCTCCTAAAACCACTCGTTTCCGAGATATTCGCAAAATAACATGAACACTTTTCATTCAATCTGAGAAATTATTCCTTTCCTTCTAATAAACGTCACTCACTAATCAAAAATAATTAACAAATACGAATCCTCAACTCCTCAACCCACTACAAAGCGATCGCATTCTCGAAGGTTGACTAGAAAATCCGAATGTTCCTTGAACATAAAAAAAAAAACTCAAAGAATAAAAGTACTCACCAGACAATTGTCCTCGCACTCGTGCAACAACACACCAGCAAAAAACAGCGAATAAACACCGCAGTATCATGATAACAGTCTCACCACAAGTCCTGACTACCACGTTTATTCACCGAGAAGTATCGCGCGTGTCGTTCGCGTCACGACTGAAATTTCTACTTGGCGCGAACGTGCACTCTAACCTGCCGTAGGATCCCCCCACCCCTGGCAAATGCAACACGAGGGAAGGGTTGTCTCTCTCATCCGGTCAGACAGCGCGCGCCATCCAGCTACCCCCCACCCCCACACCCTGCATCCCCGAAACCGCCACTCGTGCGAGCTAAAGAGTAGAACAAATACCCCGGGTATCATCCAACGGACTTAAATTCAACGCTGTTGTCGGTGGTATCGGCTAAACACTTCGATGATCCTCACATCGTCCCTTCCGTGGATGCCATTTTGCCGCGAGCCAGTGGATAATAAAATATTTAACAAATGCTGTAAATATCTGCAGATTGATTTAATTGACCGAATAGCTAGATTTTTCGGTCAAAAAATTTCCATTAATAATTGAACAACATTGATATTTGTTTGACGTTTTGGCTGTTCAATTATCGAATGCAAGAAATTAATTTGCAAATGCCAGAGATTTTTCAGTGACACTTGAAAAAGTTTGGCTGAATTATCTGAATTCCAGTAAAGTCCTAATTTTTTAGCGGTAGCAAGACGAAAGTTCTACAATTTACATGAATTTTTGAAGTGAACAGGAATATTCACTGCCCAATTCCCTTGAATTTTCAGGGGATTCCTTTAAAATGCCTGGAATTTCAGGAATTTTTTAAGGAATTCCCTGAAAATTCAAGTAAAGTTCCGATTTTTTAGCGACAGGAAGACGATAATTCTATAATTTATATGAATTGTCTAGTGAAGATGAATATTTACTGCTCAATTCCCCTGAATTTTCATGGAATTCTTTTAAAATGCCTGGAATTTCAGGAATTTTTTAAGGAATTCCCTGAAAATTCGAGTAAAGTCCCAATTTTTTAGCGACAGGAAGACGAAAGTTCCTGAATTTATATGAATTGTCAAGTGAAGATGAATATTCACTGCCCAATTCCCTTGAATTTCCAGAGAATTCTTTTAAAATGCTTGGAATTTCAGGAATTTTTTAAGGAATCCCCTGAAAATTTAAGTAAAGTCCCAATTTTTTAGCGACAGCAAGACAAAAATTCCACAATTGGCATGAATTTTCTAGTCAAAAAAGACTACTCACTGCCCAATTTCCTTGAATTCTCAGGGAATTCCTTTAAAATGCTTTGAATTTCAGGAATTTTTTTGAAGGAATTCCCTGAAAATTCAAGTAAAGTTCCAATTTTTCACCAGACAGAATGACTTTCGTAAGTGAAAAAATTCAGTCTGACCATCCACTGGCCTTCCCCCCTGATCTTTAAATGACTCGTTACCTCTCTCCTCATGATTCATCATGAGTATTCACGCTCGATTAAACTCACTGTCTCGGTGTATCGGAGATTAATATATCGGGAAAGCAAGAAGCGGGAACGTGAAGCGGATACCCGGTCGTGATATGCACTTTAATGATTAATTATCCCGTGAATGTATATTCATGCAGAATTAAAAAACGAGTCGAGTGAATATTGAAGAAGATTTGGAAATCTTCAACTGGAGGAAGATGCGTAGTTAGCCGAGACAAGTCAAGCCAGACAAATGGCACCTGTCCCGCAACTGGGGACAGAGAAATACGACACGCGAGAGTCGAGAGGTAAGAATAAGTGAAGCCCTGTCAAGCGTGAATCCCTCTCCCTCTCCACCACAAAATGCTTCAATTTTCAGTGGAATATTTACAAATAAATCCCCGAAAAATCCAGTCAAGAGATAAATTGAATTTTTGCACAATATTCTCTTGAATTTCAGAAAAATATTTTCGACGTCAATTAATCCATTTTTCAGATAAATATTTTTCTACAGATCTAGAGCATTCTGAATTCATAATAGGGATGAAACAATATTTAAATCCTTGACATTAAATTCATGAAGCCAGATTCTTCAAGAATCCAATTAATTTTTCACCTGTGCCTCCCAGAAAAAAGCAAACTAAAACACGAGAAAGTTTTCATGTAAGTCATTTGATAATGTCAGACACAGAGGGCTAGGGTACTTGAGTGCCACCGGTGCAACATAAATTTACAAAACTCACCTGATCACTCACGGGAGTTTGTTTATTTTCACAAGAGACTAATGCGAACGGAGGACACCATGTCAAGTTAAATTAAACGATGAAAAAAACGTAATTCCCTCCAGGAAAGATGAATTAATAATCTTCAAATCCTCAAGAATATCAACGATAATTAGAAAATTTCAATAGAATTTCATTGATTGCAATTTTTTGACGCAATCCAATTTTTTAATTCATTTCAATCAATTCATTTCGATCAACAATAAAAGAAAGGAAATAAAATTGTAAATGAAGTAAAAAATGTTCTAGTGAAAACACTCAAATAATCAACATTCAGTTATTATATTACTATTAATGTCAATAGTAATCATAATATCAACTGCGTAATTAATGTTTTCAACTCAGGTTAAATTCCTCAATTCCTAACAAATTATTGAAGCGGTTTTTTCCCTCTGAAAACATTCCGAAAGCCCCGAGAATTTTTTCAACTAGGGGACTTCGCCCTTCGCTCGCTTCGTTCGTCAACTCCGGGGCGGCTCCGCCCCCCTCGCTCGCTTTGCTCGTCAACTTCGGGGCGGCTCCGCCTCCCTCGCTCGCTTCGCTCGCTCCCTCCAGTTCTTTTTGGGTACGTGCGGTGTATTATACAGAAGATGACCCCCATGATCCTTTTTTACCCTTGTGACTCTTATTTTTACCTTTATCACCCTAATTTTCACCCTTCTAATTTCGACCCTCGTGACCCTTAAAATTTTTGCGTCGTCTCAATTCACAGAATTATTACATAAAGACATTTCCTCCAGCCCCAGCCCTACCTAACCTGAAATCTCATCACGTCGGCCATCTCTCCCGGCCATTATCACCGCTTCAATCAGAATAAACGCAATTTCCTCCAATTTTTCGTCTCCCACGGACAAAGGAAAAGCGATCGAACTTAAATGAACTGAAAAGGCCTTTCAGCCCCGGTGTCCGGGTGTTCATGAGCTAATAATGCCCCGATTACTAATTACATGATATGGAGAAATACGTGAGAATTGGCTGGTCGTCTTGAGTCTGCCGGGTCCAGTGCAATCGTTGAGGTAACAAAGAGGTGGGGAGAAGGTGGAAAAAAAACCGGAGTGAAGAAGGGGAAAAAAAAGAAATTAACTAGACACCGAGTCTTCGCAAATTGAGTTGTACGACGGTGGAATTTAAACATTCAAATTAACCCGTTTAGCAAGTCAAAGTGTCTAATGTGCTGCTGCTGTGCGGGGCTTGCCCCCTGTTTCCGTGCACTCAGACACTCGTTGTAATATTCAATCGATAGTTTTCGAGTTTTATCTGTGACTTAGGGATTTATCGAGCATTTTGACGATTTGAAAAAATAATGTGACGACCTTTGAGGAATTTAAAGACGTTTATTCGCCATCATCTGGTGGTTTGATAATAAAATTGTATTATTTTCAATCATGAAGTTATTTTTTTATTAATTTCCCATCTAATTATCTTTTCTTCTTATTATTTGTCAATACGAGTGACTGAAGAAATGGAATTTCTGTAAAAATAGGTTATCGATTTCCTAAAGATGCAAGAAACGTGAAGTTGATTTAGATCGAAATATCTCGAAACTGCCTGACCGCTAATGAAAAAAATCCCCGGTATTTTCAAATTCTTCAAATGGCAAAAATTTTTTCTGCGTCATATTTTTCATTTTTTGATCATGAGAAAAAAAACAGTATTTCTAAAATTTTTTAACGCACAAATTATTCTTCACTTCCCAAATTTTATTTTTTTCATATTTATCATACGGAAAAATGATCAATTCTTGCTTCTCAGATTTTCATACATAAATTCCAAACTCTACAAAATTCATGAAAATTCTTCGGTTTCACAAGTAATTCAAGAAAAATCTTTGAAGATCTACTGTTATCTGAAAAACTGTGATTTTTTCCGAAGAATTCAAGATTTTTTTTCAGTTTTCTAGGCAATCAATTCATAGTATTTCATAATTCAAATTTTTCAATCGCTGTTCGAGTAAATTTTCTTCATTCTCTTCGGACAAGGCCCATCGTGTAATTTATAATAATCTAAAAAATAAAAATAAAATCCGTAATTAACCGATAAAAGTCAAATCAAACGTCAAAACATCGTTCGTAAAGAATCAAGCAGTCTTACTAGTCCTGGAAAGCGAGTATTCATCGATTTCATGGCCAAATATCACACGCTTCCTCACATGTAATTCACTACATCCGTTGTAACACTTCATGTGACAAATACTTGGAAATGTCATATCCTCGTGATCCCTATCCCTAGCGCATATTGTTCTACTCCCATCACCGTCAAGATCCTCCTTATCCAGTCGATTCTCGGTTGGCTGAATGTCCTCGTTCTCCTCAACGTCAATCAACCTGACTGAATCCTCACAATGGCTACAGTTACAAGCGTCTGTTGTAATGAAATTGCCGACTGAAATCACTGGCGCAATAATTCAATTATACCCAAATACCAGAGGCACACCAATTTATCCCTAATCAATTGACAAATCAGTTCTGTCGAACTATTTTTAAATATCGATTATCCAAATTTCATCTATTCGATATGGAAACACCATTCAGGGAAATATGAGCTAAAAAACACAATATGACGACCCGTTTTATCCCAGCCATTGCAGGAATATTTCAAAACCTTGAATTTATTCAACTTTTAAAGATTTTTCAGGCCCAATGACGTAAAAAATTTTTTATATTCTCCCATGTACGGAAAAGCTGTATAAAATATCAATTAAATTTTTAATCAAAATTTAAAATTTTCCTCTTATTCTGTTTTCCTTTTTTTTATTATTCAGGTCCTTCCCTGTTATTTTTTTTAATTTATAAAATATAAATTTATATATGTTTCATATATATTTTATATAAATCTTATACATATTTTTATGTACGTATAAAGAAAACCCAGGGAAAACCCCTAATTAGTGTAAACCCCTAATTATCGAAAGCCCCTATTTATTATTTCCGAACCCAAAAATTCATGTAAAATAATTGTCACCATAATTATCAATATCTTCATAACCATTGGGGCAAAATGGGCCGTCGTATTGTATTTTCCAACGGGTTAAATCCCTCGATAGTCATCGCCAATTAATCTCTCAGTGCCAAAAGTGTAAAAATTTGAAAAACTTAATTATTTTGAATCAATGCAAAACTAATCATCATAAATTAATTGAAGTCCTCCAATACACACCAATGATAACCACAGTAGCATGAAATCTCATCTCGAATAACTGTCACGCGTGGAAACACCCGTTTACGAATTTACAGACACCACTAAGAGACGCAAATTGCAAACGGATCAAACAGATTCCAAGGGGTTATATCAAACGTCCAGTTTGATTTCGACTAAACCGCTGAAACCAACTGAATCACCCGGGCTTCCCCCCCCCCCCCCCCCCCCGCCCTCCTCAAGATCCAGAGAGAGGAATGAGCTCGAGTGTACTTGTGTGTGCAGTACGAATAGGAGGTCGAGTGATTAAATTTCAGTCGCTCAAAGGCGGCATCAAAACCATAGCAACTTTATCACGACCCCTCAAACTTTGAAATGATAACGATGGTATTAGGGAAATTAGTTACCAAGCCGTGGGAAAAATAAGTGATATGTGTGTCAACAAAATATTTTGAATGTAATTGCGATGTTAGATTTGAAATGGATGAACTGAATGATTTGCAGAGAATTTTTTGATTTAATATGATTTAATATTTAATATTTATTTATTTTTGATTCAATGATGTTGGAAATTTCGAAGGGGAAAATGTTTTTATTTTCATTGAAAAGGAGGCAAAATTTCAGCTGGAAAAAACAAGATGACAACCTGTTTTATTTTCATAATCACGAAAATCATGAAAAAAAATTTTTTGGACCGAAAAGGTTTCTTATTCATATCTCGATTATTTGTGGGGCCGAATAAATCGTCAAGTTGTATTTTCCATTTGAAATATCTCTAGCCATTCCACCAGAATATTCCAAAATCATCATATCATATTTCCAAAATGATTTTTCAAAATTTTCATTTCATAAAGTCCAAGAATTTCTCATTATCCGAGAAAACCGAAGAGACGAAGAATTACAATGAAGTTCATTCGAAAACCAGAATAATTTCAGGTGAAAAACGTACCCACCATGACCCATTTTACCCCAACAATGAGGAAGCCATCAAAAGAGCACCATCTCCGGCCTAAAATAGATTTTTTTCACCGACAAATTTTTGCAACTCCAAAAAATAACCCTAAAATCAACTTGAAATTCCCCTTGGACCCCCAAAAAATAGCAGTGCCTCCCCCCCCCCTAAAAAAAACAATTTCAATCTGAAAATAAAAATAATAAAAATAATTTTTCCTCGCGATTTTCCTCAATCCCCTCCCGTTATCTCGAGCACCCAGTAAAAACAAACAAATCCCGGAAAAAGAGTTTAAATGGATCATGCTATTTAAATCGGCCTTGAGAGGCAGCGATTGCGTTCATATCTCCAAACGTTGCGCGCGTTAACCTCTTGATCCCCAGAAGAAAAAACGAATATAGAGTAAAAAAAGGGCAGGGGAGAGGGGAAAATGAAATAAAAAAAACAAATGTTCGATATGCAAACACAGTAGCACACTGGCCTCGATCCCCGTTGAAACGTCACCCGAAGGCACGTAATCTCTGTCAGTACGTATTCCGGGGCGCCGTATACTAATTCCCGCATGGCGTAGCTTCAGTCAGTCAACCCCCTCTCCTCTTCGCCCCACCCCTTCCCCCCGCCTTCCTCCCCCCCCGCCCGCCAGCCATGTCCTATTCCCCCTATCGCCATGTCCCTGCGAGTCACGGGCTTATAGAGATGACAATGGTACAGATATACAGGTGGTGGAGGGGATGAGGAATGTTTGCGACTCATGAACTCTCGCTCTCTTCCTCCTCAACTCATCTCCATTTGCATTTTAATTTGCCCTGGCTATTGTTCGTGAGTTATTGTTCCTGCGANAACTCTCGCTCTCTTCCTCCTCAACTCATCTCCATTTGCATTCTAATTTGCCCTGGCTATTGTTCATGAGTTATTGTTCCTGCGAATGTTGCCACACGTCGATTAACCTCAGGCTGGGGTAGATGAAGCATTAGGGACGATTTGGAGGAGGGGGGGGGGGTGGAGGGGAAGTTGTTTCATGAGTTAGGGAGACTTTTGAGGGGAAGGGAGAAAACGGAGGGGTTTGTTTTTTCAATTGAAATAATTTTAGAATATGTAATTGCACGCTTTGATGAGGGTTTAGAGGTGCGTTGGAAGAGGGGGTGTAGGGGAATCGATTTTATGAGTTAGAGAAATTCCGTGAAGAGGTGAAAAGAATGAAATCATTGGGATTTTCGATTTGATTATTTTGGGAATTAATGGGTGCAAAGGAAATGTTTATAAGAGATGATTTCGGTATCAATTTCATTCAGACAAACGGGGCCTTGTTGAGGGCGGGAAGAGAGGGGGACGGAGGGGAAGCTGTTTCATGAGTTAGAGGACTTTTGAGGGGAAGGGAGAAAACGGAGGAGTTGGGTTTTTCGATTGAAATACGTTGTGAATACGTCATTTCACGGTTTAATAAGGGTTTAGAGGTGCTTTGGAAGAGGGGATGTAGGGGAATCGATTTTATGAGTTAGAGAAATTCCGTGAAGAGGTGAAAAGAATGAACTAATTGGGATTTTCGATTTGATTATTTTGGGAATTAATGGGTGCAAAGAAAATCTTTTTAAGAGATCATTTCGGTATCAACTTCATTCACGACAAATGGGGCCTTTTGATGATTTAGTAGGGGGTGGGGAGAGAGGGGGTGGAGGGGAAGCTGTTGCATGAATTAGGGAGATTTCGCGCAAGGACTGGAAATAGTTGGGGTTTTGTCCTTTTGAAGTGAATTATTTTAATAATAGATGGTCTAAAAAATCAAAAAACACTCTTTGTTGAAAAAATATCTCACACTGGTCTCATCGATTTAATTCACAGATAATAATTTTTATATTCATTCTAATGAAATGAGAAATTTTTCATACTGTGCACCAATCACTCCAGTGAATGTCGGAATAAATACAGACGTGTAAATGTAATTCTGGGGATGTGCTTCCCAGTTCAATTCACTCTCTCGTCAAATCCAATCTCTCTTCATTTTCGTACTGTGATTACATCCAGCCATATGAGTATGACCGTTTTACACCTGGGGGGGGGGAAGGCCTTCCACGGTAGTCCAGTTTGTATGATGAGAGTGTGCGTTTCAAATGAGGTGAATTCAGTCTGTTCAATCGAGAGATCAAGAGGGAAAAACGAATTTCCATCCATTCAGGGTTTTTAAAATTATTCTTTTGGAACAGTTGAAAATGGAAACAGTATTCTGGTTAAACAAATATAATTCTGAATTAAAAATGAGGGAATTTCAATCAGTTTTTTAGAGGGGGAGAATGTGAGAAAAAAATATAATTAAAATTTTCTTAGGGAAATAAACCAATTTGATAGAAGGGGATTTAATATCTTTCGCAAAAATTAAATTTTTATCATGGTTTGGAGGAAACTTTCCTTTTTGTCAATCGATTCAACGCGACGAAAAATCTCTTCAGGGGAAATATAATTTTTCGACAGTTTTTTTTTGTCTCTCACGAGCATATTCATAGAATTTTATGATTCGGGCATTGCCCGAATTTTTTTATGCATATACATCGACTAAGATACTCCTCTTATTCTCTCCCTTTCACAACCAAGAAATTTGCGAATGCAACTGACCATATTTACACAGAAGAAATATGCAAATACCTAAAAGAATGTGAAATAAAAGTATACGAATTTTCCGCATCAAAATCCGGAAATTTTTATCGTGTTCAAGTTCCACTGAAATTTCATGAAATCTTGTCATCGAAAAATCAAACATTCCATTGATTTTCTGTTCAAATGATCTGGAAATCAATAAAATCCTTGATATTTCAGTTCAATTATTCTCCAAAAATTCAGAAAAATCATGAAAATTGAGGAAAAAATTGAAAATTTATGTCATTTTGCGTCTAAATATTCATTTCTTAAAACTTGAAATCTCATAACCATTTGTTCCCTAAATTCGATTCAGTCCCCTTCACGAGATTTCCTACATCCTCCATGAACTGTCAAATTATTTCAACCAGTGTAAACCACCCATTCTCAACAACAACCAAACTGAGTAAATCACCTGTATCGACGTTGCAAATAAATCTCACGTATAGATTTCATCGCTTCAAATAAATAACATCAACCGGAAAAAATAACAAAAATGACACTTCTCCGTCAATTACCCCGGAAAAATAATCTCCACGTGTGCCGAAGTCCCCCGTGGGCGTGAAAAAACCCTTCATACAGATTGACCGCGACATACATTCATTAGAACCTTTGGCAATTGACCATCGTCATCCCACAAAAGGATACACACGTGGCTTGTGGGAGACACGTGCCACTGGTTACTAACCGTAAGAATTGACACAGGCGCACAGAGGGGTAACACTGAATGAGAGAGGCCAACACGCTGTTTCCAACACACACTGGCCCCATTGAATCGTTCAACCAACTCTCTCCTTCCTCACCGCAGTGTGTGGAGTACTCGTTTTACGTCAACGTTCTCAACTGAGGAGAGGAATTCCTCGCTAACGGTTTAATCGATAATTACACCTACGCGTTAATGCTGGTGATGCACATGTGTGCATCATTGATGAGAATTTAATTAGGGTTCGTTACACTTTGTTTTAAAGATCAAAGTGACGACATTTTTTTATCATTCTGAGATAATCTGAGTTTTACAGTTTTTATGGGTTTTGATTAATTGAGAGATTAAAACATTAAATTATTTGGGAGTTAATGGGGTTTTAAGTAGCTGGAGGGGACACAATGTATTTTTAATGTGTTTTATTACGAATGGAAGCTTTGGAATCGTTCAAATTTAAGCATTCGATTTTTTGTGAGACTGGATGGAATTGAATCTCTTTTTTCGAATGTAGGTATCGTTGAGCCCTATCGATCGCCATTAACTGAAATTAAATTCATCGATTGGTTTTTTTAATTTTCGAATTTTTTCGAAAATCGGTTGCCCCACGATAACTAAAGAAATTTTCAGAATTGATTGAATGATGGCTTAAAAAATTTGTTTGGATGTCCTTTTGATCGAGTTCGAAGATGAAGGGGATAGCAATAATCGTTATTTTGATTAATTTGAAAATTTGCAAGAATTTTGTATTTTTTGTTTTATGAGAATAATAAAAATAAAGAGCTAGAAGGTTCAATATAATTTTGTAAAAAAAGTTTCAAGTCTCGAGGAATATGACAGTAAAAAAGCCATTATTTTGAAACCGATTGGTTGTTATTTTTTTCGAACT